GTTACTTGGGTCTAAAGGGAGGAGCTCATTTTTGTGCCAAGAGTTTTATGTTTTATGTTCTGACTCTGCAGTGGGAAACATTTTTGAAAAATCACCTAACCAAATCTCTGTGTGACAAGGTGCTACATGTAGTGATTGGTAAAAGTCATGCAGATTTTTGAAAATGATTGTGACTAATTTGTTTTGCACTGTTGGATTGCTTTGTTCATGTTGAGGTTTCGGAAAAACCAAACTATGGGCAACTTCTTCCATGGATAAACAGTGTTAGGCATCAATTACTCTGGTGCAATCGTTAAGCAAATGTGAACACTATTTTGATGCCAAGAAAAATATCAATAACACTACCTTCTCACTGAAAATGGAGTCTTCATTGGAATTGGTTATTGAGAAAGCTTTTCCTACAACTCCCAATTCTTTTTTTTAATTTATTTTTTCCTTGTTTGCTTTATTTTTCTCTTACTATCTCAACTTTAATGTATATATAGTGTTTAGAGAACCTCTATGTGTGTGATTCAGAGAGAGAAATCATGAGAGGCAGTGAGCAGAATATATCCCTGTCTTTCCATAGATGAAGGCTGTTTGTATATAATTTATGTACAAAGCTCCTCAGCAGGATTTCTCTCAATTCAGCTCATTTTGACAGCTTTATGGCACACCATCCAAAAAGCCCTCAGGAGGTTGATATGTCATTTACATAAACTTATAATATAACTTCAAGATACAGAGCAAAGACACACCGACATAAAAACTAAATGTCCATAACATTAAATGGTCTAAATGTTATCATAAAAGTTAAATACATATATACACCTAAACTATGTGGTTCTTGTTTAACACATTAACACTAATTCACACTCAAGCAAAGGTTTGGGGCTGCAGTAAATTATTTGTTACTTAAGTAAACATTATTGTTACATTCCACCTATGGTCCTTTTCCTGCCTTGATATAATGGTATGGGTATTGTTAGAAAGATAGTACTTACTACACTATAACTTTTTTGGAGAGGTTTGGCACTGTGCTCCCACGAATACACACACACATATACACATATACATATATACAGACTCTGGAGGCAACTACTGTAAGCCTGCAGATAACTTCACAAGAATCTGTCAACTAACCAGCCAACACTCTTCATAGAGCCAGAATTCATTTTGTCTGGTTCAACAACCTAGCAAGCACGCTGTGGTTGTGTTGAAAATAGTGGAGGCTGCAAGGAAGCAGATGAAAATAAGCAAATTACTTTCCCACATGTTTAAGCTTGTTGAACAGGTCGTTTTACAAACGACTATATTTGGTTTCTTCAGGGAAGGTTTACACATTCACATACTGTTAAAAAGATAAGATGTCAACTTTTGAAAAAGGTTTTTATTTCAGATTTGGGGTTTGCCCTCCTCATTGTGACGCTATCATCACTATTCCTGTTATCAAACAAATATAGGGATAAATATGTAAGAATGGGTATTTACAGTTGAAAACTCATCTATGGAAAATGCAAAAATGTGAAATTTTAAATGCTTGTGAATCACTGTCATCTTGAAGTTCTGCGGATATGTCTTCACACAGGTGTACATGTTTTAAAATATATCAGGAATCCCTGGAAATCTTCATAGGAAGATTTTCACTCAATAGCAGCTTAAAGCCTTGGTAATACTTTCCATGCACACAAGTCTGCTAGGGTCCACTGGGGGCCAAGTTACATAAATTTTATCAGATGAGTCCGTGTGGATGCCCTCATGTTTGCCAGTTTTTTTGTGATTTCTCCCGAGAGAATTTTAATTACAATGCACCAGCCGCACATGTGGCCCAGGCAGACTCCAGGCCAAGTATAACAGGAATGATTACTTGGCTGTCGGGTGTCAAGCTGTCCTTGTCTGCAACATATAATCAATGCATAGTTGACGTTCACAGCACTGAACAACACAGTGTTAATTTACTAAGACAACTCAATTATTGTTGTCTAAAAAGTTCTATGTTTCTCCAAAGCAGCGCCAGATTGAGGTTAAACAAGGTCAACCAGGAAATAGAGAGAAACAATGGCAACCTTGCCAACTCTATTTGATCAGTATAAAATATGCCAAGTCACTAGAACTGGAACACAATGGAACGATAGAAAAGATACTCTACTTCTGGTCTTTTTTTATTTATATATTATCATATATACACTTTATCACCGTATTTTTTTGTTCTACAGACAAGTTAAAATTATAGTTATAATTTTCTGAAATTATAGTCCAGTATAGCGACTATCTGTATCATAACAATCCTACTACAAACAGTAGTAGGAGGCCCAAACAGCCACCGATTTATGCAGCTCTCTATTTTTTATTGGCACTGGGCCAGGCCTCGCTAGTGTCAAACCCTGCAGATACTTTCATACTTGCATTCCACAGAAACAAAGCCTCCCCTCCCATCACGGTGTACTGAAACAGGTTAGAAAGAGCTAGAACTCATTAACTGACATTAACTGAAAGTGGTTAATAAACAAGAGTGTGGCGTTTTTTTTCCCAGCCTGTCCTGTCTTACAGATTGTCATACTGCTACGTAATAACTGAAATAACAGATAAAACAAACATCTTAACAAGAGAAGCCTATAGAGTATTTACAGAGCTAATGATGGAAAAGCAAAATGTATTTGGCACAACTAGAGCATTCAGATCATAACTCTGATAGTAAAAGCTGCCAGACCTTTACCTCCTCCGTAGATTTTAGAGATTAAAGAATTTAGTTTTCTTTCTTTAGTGGCCACGTGTCATTTGGTAGTGGCATCAGTCTATCAATGTACTCCTTTAGGCTTGGTAGTTTTACTTTTTTACTGAGTTTTAAGGTTTACAATTTGAACCTTCTTTATGTTGCTTAGGAAGGCTCCAGGATATGAGTTGCACTTGCCCATTTTGTGTACTTTTAAAATATTTTTCTTTTAAAAAAACAAAGAAACAACACATCTGGAAGCTTTTTTTTATATGTGGGATGTCGTGGTCAAGTTACACTAGGGCCCATTTAATGTAATTTTTTTCTGATTTAGCTTCTCTATCCCTTTAATTTATACAACACAAGTACAAGTACACAGAGTTATTCAATTTCAATTCAATTCAAGTTTGTATACATGTACATTAGGGGTGCAACGATACACAAAATTCACGGTTCGGTTCGGTTCGATACTTTGGTGTCACGGTTCGATATTTTTTCGATACAAAAAAAATGTTCATGCCTTTTAATTTGTCATTTATTAAAATTATAAATATATATTTTAACTCAAAAGTACAGTTTTTAAATTTAATGTTGCTGAAACAACAAAGTAATAAAAAACATAAATCTATCTGATTGAGGAATCACTCATCTTTGGAAAAGAGAGTTTTTACAGAGAAATGGCTCTTTCCAAAATAAAAGCTATACTATACGCTTCTTCTGGGCAGCATATTAAACATATCAGGTCCCCATAAGGAGAATCATGTGCTAACGGCTGTCTAAATGACTCGGGTAAAGTTTGTACCATGTGTGCTTGTTGTTTTTGTCTGCTTCCACTTGTCTTTGCACTAGGATGATGTCGGAGTAAATGTGCAGTCACATTCGTTGTGTTCCCACTAGTGCTGTCAGCGTTAATCTGAAATGATTTTAACACCACAACACGGCAAATCTACCGCGGATCGCCCAGTGCTTGGGGCTGGACGGCCAGCACGTTAACGAGCTAACTGCGCTAACGCACTAGTTCCCACCAATGTAATTGAGCATTGCGTGGCACATCCAACATACTCTTTTACTTTTGTCCATGACGCGCTTACCTTCAGGGTCATACGTCACATGAAAACCAAAATAGTTCCAACGCCACATCTCTCCTGTCTGGCTAGCTTGCCCTGCGCTCAGTGAATCTGCGTTCGATCACTCCACCTAGGCTGCACTGTCTAGCGCAGATCCACTGAGCGCTCAACACAGACAGCATCGTCAGAAGGAAAGTTGATAAAATAAATTAAAAATTTTGTATTGTTCATACATATGCGTACCAAACCGAAAGCACTGTATCGAACGGTTCAATATCGATACGAATATCGTTGCACCCCTAATATACATATATAGGGAGACGGGACAAAACAAAGCCCATGGGAGAGAGAAAACAGTATTCAAGAACATAGCAGTATTCATATATCAGTTTAATAAATTATGTGTTAAACATCAGTGACGAAGTAATTTGATTCCGTGTTAAAGTAGTGAATCACCATCCAAATTTATTTTTTTAGATGTGGCTCACCTCCTTAAATACAGATGCGTCATTTTAATAACCAGGCTTAGTCAGCGGGAACTGTTTACCTGCAACTTTGTGGAAGCCAAAACTAATACCTCCAAAACCTGCCAAAAAGCATTGCCTTTGGCAAGGTGGACACAGTTACCATTAGTCAAGGATTATATGATAATAACTGTTAATTACAATTCAAATCCACTGACTCTGAGTCTGAAAAGAACTGCAAAGCTTCAGTACTAAATATTTAGGAATTATAGGAATACGCAGGTAGAGAAGGCACATACAGAGTGTGTGTAACATATCACTGACTGAGTATAAGTGAAGCTACTTTTACCTGTGTGGTTAAAAGGTTCTCAAAGCGACTAAGCTGAAGGATCTGTGGAGTCAAACTTCATTTGCATATGATGTAGGCCGCGCATAAATAAAACACGGTAACCTGAGCTGTAGAGCTGGAGGGATGTACACCTGAGCTGCGAAGCACACCCACAGACTAAAAACTCACAGTAGCTTATACATTCTCTCATGAAGGACATTTATACAGGCACATTTATGGGATGCATAATACAAAACCAACTGGTCTTTTACTGCACAAAACTGGAAAAAAAATACATTTATTGCACCCTGATACATCAAATAGTACAGCATGAAGACGCAGGTCTGTGTAGACTGGAAAGTCAGCCAATCTGCTCTCTACAGCAGCTGTGGGCAGGGCTTTCCCGCACTCCTAGTCAAGCTGTTTTTGAAACTTAGAGCACTCCAGCAGAGGATATCAAGGAGTGTAGAGCAAGATGAGGATCTCCCTTTTTCTGTTGGTGAGTACAACCTTTTTAATAATCTTCAGTATTGATAAGGGATTGTCTTATAAATTCTTATTGTTATTCTTTTTCTTATTCTTATTGTTAAACCCAAAAAAGATAATTGTATTCACCACTGAAGATAAACATCAATTTCAATGTTTGATATTTTTTCTGTAATGTTTATTTGTATTATATCTAATGATATTTTCAGGTTACATTAACCTGCATAGAGCATTTAGCTTCTGTTAATGTATAAGTTCCCATCCGTTCACAAGAGATAGATGAGCAACGCAAGCAGAACTTGTTCTATGCAGTGTTGTTACAGCTTGTGGACTATGAACTTTAACACAGTGTATTCGGTGAATAAGCCTTTAGGTGCTCAGGTGCTTTAGGTGTTTAAATTTACTTTGCAGTATATTTAGTTTCTGTTGTGGGAAAAACAATCATTTAAGAAGCTATTTGCTCACACACCTATATGCTCACTCCCTGGTTCATCCATCGTACTATATGTACTAGCCTACAGACCTTCCTATTATTGTCTGAAGCTCATTTAATTATTTACTATTTTATTTAGTAGCTAATAACATAATATATGTCCTGTCATCTGCACTTGGTAAACTAAATGCTATAATACTGCATGTTTGTCAGATGATTATTCTTCATTCAGAAAAAAAAATCCAGAAAATATTGATATAAATGACTTCAACAAATTTTGGGTACTTTTGGGCACCCTGCCCGTGCCAAAGCGCTCACAGGCCGAGGATAGCCCTCCCCCAGCTGCTATTAGGGCAGGAGATGTTCACACCTATGCGTCCAAACTGCAAATGAATCGCGCATGAGCCAAGCCGCTGCTCCCGCACTGACCGTAACGCAGTCGACAATAATTGCTAAAAGAAATTTAATTTGTAGTTCTAAATAAATTATAAATGCATTTAAGACGTTTTTTTTTCTTGCTTTTTTTTTTTTTTTACTGACTTTATGTCTCTTCCACGATGTTATTTCTCTCTCCAACAGGTTACAATTACATTAGCATGACCAATTATGCTAATTAGATGACAATGACGTAATTTAGCAACTTCTAGCGACTTTTAGGACAGCCAATAGTGATTTTCCTTACTGAGGAGTTGGCAACACTGGTTGAAGCCCTGCTTGGAACCTCGTTAAGATCCAGCCATGCAATTTTTTTGTTGTTGCCATTTTTCAAGTGGTCTTAAACTTTTGATTATATATCGATAGATAGATACAGATATATATATATGTATAAGTAGGGCCTCATTGAAAGGCTTTGGTCAAGGTAGTATGCAGTGACCCTAGAGCTCCCCTCTTGCCAGCTCCACCCAACAGTTCCTGTCATCTCTCAGTAAAATACTGTGTATTGTGCCAGTATCTGTAACAGAGTTGTTGGGGATTTATACACTTTCGTGGGGCTCATGGTTGTGTGCTAGGGTGTGCAGCTTGTGCAACTATAGCAGTTACACAGCAACCTGAACAAGATGAAGACCAGAGGTTGGTACACCTTACTAGTAATCTGCAAATTGTTTGTTTGAGTCCCTGTTCAGATGCTGCCATATATGAGACATCTGTTTTTGTGTGTGATCCCTAGTGAAAATAAGCATCATGAACAACCCAAACTAAACTAATACTTAAAAATGTCATTTGTTCTAAGCCATATGGTGAGGCTGTGTAATAGTTTCTACAGGTTGCAAGAACCAAGGTCACCTTTATTCTCTATAAAAGTAATGTCAGTATTCATTTGTAGATATGTTAAACACATTAGAGCAACCAACAAAGACACAAAACACAAAAATCACTCCCTGTATATTCACTCCTCTTCTGTAGGGCTAGCTTCGATGCCAAAGTACCACAAACATGACTTCCGTAGATCTGCTGTTGTTCCGGTGTTGTGGCAAAAACAAAAACAAAAAGCACCGGTCTACTTTTAACCCGTAAATTTGGTACACGTCATCTCTTTTTATGCAACATCCTCTGGTGATTGAACAGGACTGCCACTCATGTGTTTCTGTTTAGGGTCAAATCGGTTTGATGTTTGAAGGGTCACAGAGACAAAATAATAACCCACTCAAATGTGCTAAAGCTGCTTTGAAAATGTAAGGAGTAGAAAGTATAGACACTTGTTTAAAAATGCAGGCAGTAAAAGTAAAAAGTAGTCTGTACATGAGTACAGTAACGAAGTATTTACACTTTGTTACTTCCCACCTCTGATGATATTTATTTTGTGTGTGAAGATCTCTGCATGTCCCGACATAGGACTATAGGTTCTCCTTATCATTAACCTGTTTTGACCTGTCTTAACTTTAGGATTATAACTGTTAACATTAAGCACTGGGACTGCTGTTTGTGCTCAAGTTAATGATTTATTTACTATTTTAGCTGTCTATATGTGCCCTTAACAGTAACTTAGCAATGGCTTTTGAGCAGAGGAAGTCTGTAAAGGCAGGGAAGGAAGAGAGCAAGAAAGAAGAGACAAGGTTTCATTTCAAGTCACTTATGGCCCGCAGTTACACAATGCTACAGATGTTCACCTGAAAATCATTAGTTCAATGCAATTATACTTCATGAATTATGTTAGAATTGCAGGAGTTGATTAAATAATGATCACTTCCCACTCATTACTGTTAATTTGTCATCAGGCTGTCATAAAAAAACAACATCTTATTATTCACTGAGACATTCATCATGAGTTCCTTCTCCAATACTTGTACAAATGATTCTGTTTTTCTTATTAACATGCAGATTAATTTGAACAAGAAACTGACTTCCCCATATGTGTGAAGGGACTCCTGTGTATATTTGTTTTGTGATAGAAGGGAGACCTGAGTTTCTGTCCCAGTGCACACTGAAGTTTGCTACAGCAACTGAATCTCACAGCAATGTTTTCCTGTTGCATATAGGTTGCTGCAGCAGCCGTGGCAGATTGTTATGGTAGCAAGTACAGCAGCCCTTCCAAAAGGGTAAACATAATTTTTACGTTATCTGTTTGTTAAGGCTATTTTTGTAAAATAACTTTCTGTAGAAAACAAAGCTGGTGTAAAGTTTGGTCCATATTTTGGCCTTATCAGGATCTCCTGGTGCGTTCCAAAAGAAGATGGGTCTTATCTACAATTGAATTAGAAGAAGAGAAGGATGGACAGTACCCCATGGAGATTTCAGTGGTAAGGAAATTATATGAAAGAAATAACTGATACTGATAAATGATATGACTGGTGACTATAGACAAATCTAATATGCAAAAATTAACAGCCTGATTGTATCTTGACTAGATGTATAACGACAAGACTCAGGGGAAAGACTTTAGGTTCCGTTTAAGTGGTGAAGGTGTGCCGGACGTGTTTACCATCAATGAAAACACTGGAGCCGTCTTTGCACATAAAAAAGTGGACAGGGAGCAAAAGCCACTTTACCATGTGAGCTAATACTGGAATATAAATTCCTCTGACAATAAACGCAACTGATATTGATGCTTTTTAAGTGATGCGTCTTTTTTTATCCACAGATTAACTTTGATGTCTTGGACAGAAATACGGGTGAACAACTAGACAAGGAACTAGCATTTGATGTTGAAATACAAGACATAAATGATAATCCACCCAAGTTCTCTTTTCCTGAAGTAACAGTTAATGTAAAAGAAAATATACAAGGAAGTGAGTATACGGTGTGGTAAATAACTCATAGTGTGCACATTTTCTATTTCAAACACTAAAAAAATAAAACAAATGATATTAAGACTCTTTGAGAATATAGAATCATTTCAAACCAAAGTCTCATATTTCATCTTACTATAATCATACTACATAGTTCTATAGTTATGTTTTCCTGACTGAAAACCTTTTCTTTATCCCACATTTACTCTCCAACTCTCCTTGTTTGTCTTTACCCAACTTCAGGCCTTTTGCCAGTTACCCTGGTGGTCACAGACAAAGATAAGGAGAACACAGCCAACTCTGAATTTAACATCACGATGGTTTCACAGACTCCAGCAGAGCCCAAAATTGCTGTGCAGCAACTTCCAGGAGGACTGGCCAAACTCACCTTAAAAGGATGCTTTGACTATGATGTGAGATTTATTGCGATATTCTTGCTTAATCTTTGAAAAGTTAATGTACATGCAAATAAACATGTAGAATTTTCAAATATCTCAAATATATTTATATGTTTCAGAAAGCAACAAAGTATACCATCGTCTTACAAGCAAAAGATCGTGGAACAAAGCCAAAGACTCAGTCCTCTACTGCTGTTGTTACCCTGAACATTGTCGATGCGAACACTCACCAACCAAGATTTAAGCAGAGACAGGTACCAATTATTTTACTTACTAAAAGTGCTTTTTAACAGACGCACATATTAAACGTTTGAAATTTTTCCTTCTTTTTAGTACAACGGTGAAGCAATAGAAATGGAGACCATTGCTAATGTTTTGAGAGTTGCTGTGGAGGATAAAGACACTCCAAACACTGATGCATGGCGTGCCAAGTACTCCATTATTGCAGGGAATGAAGAAGGAATCTACAAAATTGAAACTGATCCAGAAACAAATGAAGGTGTCCTGAGTATTGTCAAGGTAATTCTGCTTTTCTCACTTGGATTAAAAACTTTATTATTTTACTCTGGGAAGAACTAGTCCACTAATGTTTTATCACAAAAACTGTATCAGCATTTAATAAAAGTTGTTTGTGTGTGTACGTGTTGTGTGTTTCAGAAAAAAAATTTTGAACGCACAACTTCAATAAACCTGCAGATTGGAGTAAAAAACATTGAAGACATATTTGTTTGTGCTGGCACAAATCCACCTACAGACAGAGCCAATGTCACTCTAAAAATGATTGATACCAACGATCCACCAGAGTTTGAAAAAGCTATAGATGACATGCACTTGAAGGAGGAAGCAGAGCCAGGAAAGGTGCTGTTCAAGCCAAAGGTTCATGATGTCGACTCTAATATTATCAGGTAGGGTGTCTACAACCTTTCTACAAAGCTTATTTTGATTGACATAAATATATAAGGGCTGCAATGATTCTTTGAGTCATTCGAATAACTCAATTATAAAAAATCCTCAACACAAATTTTTTCTTTGATAACACTCGGCTGTGTAGCGCTCAGTTGTCCCCATGTAAACCTGAGTGCTTCACCCACATTTGTGCCTAAGAATAGACTTGCAGTAGAAACATATCTAGAAGCATATTTCAAGGCTTGCGTAACATCATTTTTCTGATTTAAAGTGAAATAAAATAAAATATTAATAAAACTGCATTAATATTTACAAATAATAATATATATACGTTTTTTACAGGCCAATAAAATTGCATTTGTGCCAGTAAAACTCTGCGGCATTGATTATTGATAATACTCAGTTACTAAATCATGACTAAATCTGCTATGTTTATAGAACAAACCCCAAGTGGCCCAAATCTCCTCAGCAATAACACTTCTTGACATAAAGGTTGGGTCAGTTGACTTAATTTGAGTTATACTGTACTGTAGTTCATGATAATCTCATTGATTGAGTCTAATGTGAATCCAAGATTTTTCATTCTGCCTGTAAGCTACAACATAAAATATAGACTGACAAGGGTTTTATTTAAACCCTTTTATTTCTTCTTCTTTCTTGAAAGAAAAAACAGATCCTGCAAAGCGTGATAAGCAACAAGATATGGTAGCTATCCCAAGCTAATCATGTCTTTATTGACACCTGGTCATATAGATTATCAGAAAATAAGCCTATACAACAGTGGCCTTACCACTGCAAGGCCAGTAGGTGTCACAGTGAAGCATAACATGATTAAGTTAGAAATGGCTACTGAGGGAGTAACGCCCTTTGCAGTGCAGTACACAAAAAGCTACAACTTTGGTTTCCACAAGCTAAAACTCAGTATTTTCGTCTAATATGTTCTGCACCACTCTCTGATTACTCTTTAGGTATGTGCTCCTAACAGATCCAGCTGACTGGGTGGCCATTGATACCAAAACAGGAGAAATCAAATCAACTAAGAGGATGGACAGAGAGTCACGATTTGTTGATGACGAGAATGTTTACACAGTCGTCATAGCTGCCATAGATGATGGTACACAGAAGCTCTACTATTGTTAAAATAAATTGGATAATTTCTTAAACAAATCTTTGGAATAACAAAGCAATTTTTTTTTATTTTGCTGTGGTTTCAAAGGTCAGCCTCCAGCCACGAGCACATGCACTGTCAGGATCCACCTGACGGACATCAATGACAATACTCCTAAACTGGTCAACAACAGCGCTGTCATGTGTGGAAACAAGGTTAACAAGGTCAAGGTGCATGCAAAGGACCTAGATGCCATTCCTTACAGTGGACCCTTCCACTTTACTCTGGGGGATGAAACACAAAAGCAACAGTGGAAAATAGAACCTGACTATGGTTGGTACATTTAGATATATGTTAACCCTCATTTCTATATTAAACAAACATTTCTGGGAAAAAGCCACAAACCCCCATGCTGTTTTCTCACCCCACACAGGTGAGGAAGTATCTCTTGTTAGCCAGAAGACACTTCCTTATCTTAACTATTCCATTCCCTTGGTGATTATGGACCAACAGGGCATAGCTGGACTTGACACTCTGCAATTGACCGTGTGTCAGTGTGATGAAAATGATGTTTGTCGCGACAGAGAGCCGCTTTCAACCCGTCTTGGACCAGCTGGCATTGGGTTGGTTATTATTGGATTGCTTGCATTTTTGTGTGAGTATTAAAATCAGTGAGAAGACAAAACTGAGCTATTATAAATTCTAATAAGATTATAGTCTCCTGTGTTTTTGAAGGTAAAAAAAAAAATCTGTATTAGCATTAATACACAAGTGTTGACCGCAAAACCTTTTTGTTTTCAATTTTCAGTTTTACTGTAAGAAATGCTTTAATTTTTAGGAATAACCCAATCAGACAGTTACACTTTTAGAACTCCTTAGTACAACCACAGTCACATCTGTTGTTCATAAGGAAGACTCGGCTCTTCTGCTTTCCCAACCAACTTTAATGTACTTGGGAGACCTTCTGGTACCCATGGCAATGACAGTTCAATAAAACACAAAGACAAGATGCACACTGTGTTCTTAGCATTTGTTTCATGTGTGTCTGCAGTGCTTCTAATTGCATTTTTCTGCAAGTTTGGACCAGATAAGATTTTGCCACAAGATGAGGGCAATCAGACTCTAATCCAGTACAATCAAGAAGGAGGGTGCTCTCCATGCATGGTGGGTTTGTCATGTTCTGTGCGTGTAAATTCAAGACAACGGTGTGCTATATTTCTCCACCAAGCAAAACATGTTTTTTAATATTCTCTCTTTCCTTCAGACCGAGCCCAATTTCGTCCCGTCACAAGTAGATAATATGGCAGTGACAAATGGTCAGATGGATACCATGCAGGTGATCAACCTCTCAACTCTGACACTTTCTTTCTTTTTTGGTGAAGGATTTTTTTTTCCAAAGGAGACATCAGTTGTGCCAATTTGGACACAGTCATAGTGTAGTTAAAGACATCAGGAGAGAAGCCAAAATGTGTCAGTTAATCCTGCTTAAAATGAATGGCAGCTATAATCCAGTTGTTATCATATTTTTCTTTGATGACAGACAGGTATGTAAGGCAGTGGTTAAAATGTATGCTGTGTATACAGGAAAAAGTTTGCATACAGTCTGCAAGGTAAACGTTTAAAAAGTGTGAGCACATCATAGAGAAGACAAGTTGGAACAGCTTCTTCATTTTTAGATGTACTGATCATATTTGCTGCATTAAGTTGTGAATCTCTATGGTGGTCTTTAAGTGTAAGCTACAGGTAGGAATTGATTTCTGTACCAATGAATATACAGTTTTGGGAAGTTTGTGAGCACTTAAGAAAGCATAAAGTTTTATTATTTAGAAGAAGGTGCTATAGATACATTCTCATTTTCAAATCTGTTGAGATGTTTTTAATTGAAAAGTAATTCAACTTAAAACATTTTTTATAAAACTTGAATATTTTCTGAATTCAATGCTTAATTAACCTCTTCTGCTCAATTATCTATCCCAGATTGATACAGAAGGACCATATGACATAAATGGGTACAACAGCTCAGCGTCTACCATGGTGAGTAAAGCTTTTTAAAATATTTTCTTTTGTTTATTTTAAGTGTACATGATAATTAAGCTTTGGGATGGGTACTGAGGACCATTATTAAACAGATTCTTGTGTCAGACTGCTTGGTCCTAAAGTATAGCATCAATTACAAGTCCCTTGACAAAATTACTTATTGCTCCCTGATGATAAAGCTTTTGAATTTCCGCTATAGCCCAAAAAGGTCCAAAAAGGTTGAGCAATTATGGTAAAATGCACATGGTAAAATCTACTATGCAGAGCTCACTTTTCTGTTTGTCTCCAGACAGCAGTGCTTTGTAAATGTTTTATTATACCGTGATACACCAAAAATGAAGCTCATCTTCTCTTCTTTCCAAAAGCATTCAAATTTTTTCTCTAGCACAAATTATCTCATAAACTCAGAACAAGCATCAATTCTAAGCACTTCTTTAAATGCTTAGAAGTCGGGGTTAAAATGAGTTGTACAATGGGTGGGAAGAGTCATGTATGACAGTGCTGACTTTATGGAAAAAGGTGAAGTTAAAAAAAGTAGAGGATGTTTGGCTATATTCTGCAAATACTTTATTAGATTTTTTAATTATATAATATATGCACTTTATTATATGTTCAGTGTACATTGCTTATTTACTTGAAGTGAGAGGAATGTTGAATAAGGATTGAAACAATAATCTTGAAGTGAACAGTGTATTTTTGATTTTTTGATTTTTTTTTAGTTCTCTAAATAGATCAGAATTATATCCGAAAAAAACGTGTCTACTGTAGTTTCTTGTCTTAAACGTGGCTCTCACTGGAGATCTGACAGCCAAATCAAACTCATTCTTGAATGCAAGTTAAGGCAATGACAACCATTTCATTCGTATAATAAAACAGATGTGAGTGACTAGCAGACACCCTGGTACCTGCCGAGTGAAGAACATCATGTGAGAATAGAAAGGTGTGTCTTCTCTGACACTCACTGGCATGTAGCTGACAGACAAGAGGTGCCGCAATGAAGACAAACTGATGGACTGAAAGAGAACATTTTTAGGGAATTAACATTTACTCTTGTTACTGTGAGCACAATCAAACCTTTTACAAGTGAAAAAGGTGGTTCTGGATCACAGTATGTGTTCCACGACCATTAAGCAACATGTAGAAAAGTTATCTTTTTTTAACCGCTTTCATCCACCCCTTATGTGTTTTACAAAAAAAGCTACCTGTATGGAGACAGACTTGCTACATATCCTGAAACGTTGTAGACCCTTGTAAACTCATTTATAAAGGATAGCCAACTCACCCCTAGTCTAGTCAAGAGTGTGTACCACAAATTTGTTTGACCTATCCTAAACTTCGTGTGAGCTGTCCTGCCAATCACAGGTAAACAACTTGGTATTACCCATGGTTATGCTGGGCCAAGCATAGCTCTCGAGTATGAAGACCGGCTGAACTTGTCAGTGTCTAAAAGCAGCTATTATCAATGTAATCTTTTAATTTTACAATAAAATGTTCATTGTAGCATCAACAAAAGTGTAGATAAATAAAGGTAAACAATAAGCAGTGTCTGTATCATATGAATACAATCCTAACAATATATATCCCTAATTATGGGCATAAATATTTAACTTTAAGGCACAAATCTGACCAAAGGAGCAGGGCTTGTTGTTGTTTTTTTATTTAGCTTTGTTGTGTCTTTCCTACAGTTCCACTCACTAGGCATGCATCAACAAGAAACCTACAGGAGCCATGGCATGAGAAGCATGGTAAGTCTCAATGGCTGTAATAAAAAGAACTTTTCCTTCTTAACCGTTTACCTTACCCTATTTATTTTCTAGATAAAATTATTTTAATATATAATATAATAATAATATCATATTGTAATAAAAGAATTGTACTAGGCACTGGTAAACTCTATGATGAATAGCCATGCTACCACTTTAGATCCACAAGAGGGTGCTGGAACCCCTATGTTAAAAAATACTGCCTTACCTTTTTTTGGATAAAATATTTAACTCATGCTAGCTTGTTAGCTTTTACGCACATACAAATACTACTAAAAGTAGTTTAAAGAAAGTGAAACATTAGTGAGGATGTTTGATTACAAGTATTATTATTCTATACTGCCAATATTAAATATAATATTAAAATACAACATTTATAAATATACTCACAGATTTACTCTTATGTTAACAAACACACATAATGGCAGCTTTGCTTCATTTTATTATATGTTCAGTATTTAATTACTCAATTACTAAAGTGGGTAGATGGTGAAGCAGTTAAAAAATACCTTTGTGTGAAAAGATCTCTAAAATATTATGCTACAGTGTAGAATGCATTAAGAAAAAGATAGATATACACAGATTTTCAGAGTAAATTTAAGTCTGCAGTGAACAATTTGTTTTGGTTTTTTTAGAGGATGAACTCTACATGGAACTCAAACAGAATGAAGACCTATCGGGTAAGGAGTACTCTTATGTGGCTTCATATTTTACAAAACATTGAAAATCAGTGATTATGTTAACAAAGCACTATGAAAATTATGCATTTGCATTATATGATGCAATAAAAGCTGACAACCCTGTTCTCTGTAAGCAGGCCGGCTCATCAATTTACCAACGTTCTTTCAGCCTTCGATCGGCTGACCGCATTGAAGACCATATCAACAGGGTAATAGGTTTATTTCACACAAAGCATGCCTTGTATATATGGCTTATAATGCACTTGGTTTTATTGACGATCACATTCATTAAACTGCACTGACTGCACAGCAATGATGTGTGGAAGGGCTGCAGTCATGCTGTACCAAATGCAATTCAACGCTATACTGAGTGATGTCTCTTTTTTGTTTGTTTTACAAATTAAGCCAAGCCATTTATTTTTGACTTCTAAATTCCACAGAGATGTAACGAGGTTGATGGAAATGTTGTTGACCACCCAACATACCAACCCCACAGCTATGCCTTTGAAGGAGATGGCAGCATATGTCAGTCATTGGATAAACTGTCATTCCACGACATGGGAGAGGATTTTAAGTATCTGGATGATTTGGGGCCAAAGTTCAAGACTTTGGGACAGATGTATGATGAGGCAATAAAAAAAAAGAAAGTACAGCTTTAAAAGGCACTGCTGATATGTAAATTGTATTCCAAGTTTCGCTCCCTAAAATACAGACTGAGCAGAGATGATACACCACTACGTTTTAATATTTTTACTTAAAGAATTTGGACTATAACATCTAATTCATCCTAAGCCAGATATATTTTGTTGGCATTAAGATGGATTTAGCGCACTGCACAGCTAGTGACGCACTAGTGGTTTGTGAAATGTAATAACTTGAAAGGGATTAGGTGTGTTTTCTTGTTTTTTTAGTTTGCTTTGTCAGGGCAGTATTATTGGGAAATTTAATAGAACTTCTTTTGTTGAAACTGAGATGACTCCTGTTAGTCACATTTTTCTAGAGTACTGTTTTGTAAAGGATTTTTGATGAGAACACAGGGCTTATCATAATGGGTTATTGTTCATGCAAGTTAGAAATGTCCTTGGCCTATGGTTGATGATCGAGTGACATACTGGTCTGGAATTAACACTGGATATCCTACAAGATTAAAACGTTAATGTTAATGTTTAGTTTTCGTATTTGCATTTCATGATACAAAAATAACAAACTTTATTCCTATAACACCTTTCTAAACCAGTCACAAGGTTCTTTAAATACTTTACAATACAAAAATAACACATTTTTATAAAATACATAATAAAATGAATGACATAAAAAAAATGAAAATAAAAATGAAATTAAAAACAACAAAAAAAGCAAGATACATCATGAAATGTTATTTTTAGAAGAGCAAGTGTATACAGGTATATTTTTTGAGTTTACTGGACGGTTGGACTGATTGAGCTGATCTAAGGGTAACAGACTTGTTCCGGGGGCTAAAACAATAAAAACACTGATTTTAAGTGATTTACAAGTAATATAGAAAAATTGGAAACTGTATAGAATAGAGAGCAAATGTGCATATTTGTAAAAAATATTTTCTTTGTTAGGAATTAAAATAAAGATTGTAGTTTTTGGGCTGAAATACTTCAACTTTTTAAAATTATACAAAGATTTTTTTACACTTTCTAATGACAGCAATTAATTATATTTATTCAGTTTCTGTTTGCACAATGCTCCTCTAACCCGACTACTTAAAGTGTGGCTTCAAAAACATCACTGCATAGAAATATCACTGTAACACTGAGTTGGGTTGTCTGTACTTGTGCAAAGTTTTGAGCTTTGGTTGTAAAACATTGTGACAGCTCCTTAACAATGTGCTTTGTTGTGTTGTGCTGACTGTAAGCCGTGTAGTCATTGCTCTTTCAGCAAGTGTCTGAACTTGTTTGTTTTTTAAAATACTGACAAATGTCAGCAGGTAGTCAAGGTGAGCCACAGAAGGTAATATGCTAAACAAATCTATGACCATGTTTGTGCCACATGCATAACTTAAAAACCTTTCTCTATTACAAGTGCAAATGAATTGCCAGAATTCATAAAAAGACAAAACATGGATTATAAATAATAAAACATAATATGAAACAAAAACAGACAGATGAAGGCATCGAATGAGGCGATAATAAGGGCATTAAAGACATGTAAAGAATCTTAAAGTTCACTTTCATTTTTTCCATTTCTTCTGGCTGGTGTAAGTGAGGTGCAGTATGGTTCAAAAGGAAACTAAAATTTGAACTTGTTGATGCATTTTTGCTGACTTTTATTATTCCAAACTTTTTTTCTTAAAACCTTTTTTTAGCTTCTACAGTAGGAAAGTTTGAGAATGACTGGATTAAAGTGATTAAAGTACATACAAGAACGCATAGGGGGTTTCTGTGTTTTTAAAGTAAGCCTGCTTGTTTTAGAAAAACAGTTTGTTTAGTTATTTTACTTTGTTTTTTTTGCATGGGGTGGTTTTGGCAATGATCTTCCCACGCAGGGTGTTGTTCATTAACAGTTCTTATCTGTTTTCCGAAGAAGTGATTTCATCAGTGCTGCTGGTAAAGGCTCTGAAAGGCTGTTTTGCTTCAGGCCATAAAATAGTTATTTTAATAATAAAGACGAACATCCCAACAGTAAAAAAATAAAATAAAAGCCTAGCAGACAGGAGCCAGGGCTCTATTCCTGATCACTAAATTGGCAAATCATAGACAAATTGGTAAGTCACTGAAAATGTATTCTCCTGTGTACATTATTTTCCAGAAAGCGATCTTCTTCCCTTTCCCTACCAGACTCAGAGGAATTGACAAAGTTTTTTTCTGAAGGTTTTGGAGATCTCCATAGCTGCACAGTGCCACCACAAACTTCAGCAGTTGTAGGGGTAAATAAGTTTAACCCGTCACTCTGTAAGGAGGCTCAAATTGCTGACATCTAATCTGGTTTGATTTCCCAAAACTGATGGTTTTACTTTTCCCATGACATGGCGTGTGGGTTTCCTTTATTTGAATTTGACTGCAACGCTTTGAACACAATGTTTTAAAGAGGATCAAATTATTGCTGCTACTCAATTTGATGTGTTTAAAATACATAAAAAGATTTCTGTCACTTAGTTAGAAAGAAAGTGAAACAACTATGAAAGCTTTTATTATAAGCAATCAAATCACTTCTTGAGAAAAGGGCCTCAAGTTAGGAGTGGTGTAATTGTTTATTATTTCCAGATAAGTATGCAAGTTCCTGCTTAGTTCCTTCAGCTCAATGGCTAAATGAAATAAATCAAATCACTTAAAAAAAACAACTGTATTATTATTATTATTATTATTATTATTATTATTATTATTATCATTATCATTAT